TCACTTCAATTTTTAATTGCTAAAGTTAATTAATTTGATTTGATGTAAATAATAATGCAGACAAAGATTTTCTTATAAAAAAAAAGAAATTTGCGTCAATAATGTACATTTTAAATACCAAACATGAGAGTGGTAGTGCCCCAACAATAAAAACTTATTTGTATCTAATATTTTAAATTATAGCGTCCAAATAAAAGGACGAAAAAAGAAAACAAAAAGTAGTGGGAAAAAGGGGGAAAATAACTCGATAAAAATGTAGTGGGAATAAGTCGGAAATTGCAATTATTAATTGGTCCAAATTTCACACTTTGATGTTTTAATTTTCTTTTAAATATACTTTCACATTATCTACGTGGATATTCTTTAGCCACTAATATTAACTTTAAGTTTTTCACGTTTGGAAAGCTTTTCAAGAACCTCTTTTTTGGGGCAATTTAAGGAAAAAAATAATTAACTTACATATTGTGTTTAAGTTATCGCACTATTTTGTAATTGTCATTATTTTCATATCAATTGCTTTGTTTACACAACCTTTCCCGACCCTCCCAACTCCCTTCATTCAATGCTTGACAACTTTTTCCATGTAGCGTACACACGTCTATTTTTGACATTCAGATAAAAGACGACGGTTGCAAAGAAAGGGGTGAGGTAGTGCTTGTCATGGGAAGAGAGCTCTCACCTTAACGGAAGAATTGTCGTTTTCCTTTTTTCATACCTACTGATATATAGCTTTTGAGTCAATGATCCTTCAAAAACAATCTCTCTACCTCTACATGGAAATTAAGATTAAGCTGATTTGTATACACTCCATTTTTCGACTTTCGTGGACCTCATTATAAGATTTCACTAAATACATTATAATATTAAAAAGAAGAATATTTTTAAAACTCATAAACTTCAAACTCTAGATAGATTCGAAATAAAAAAAAGTGTGAAACCTTTTTTAAAAAGTCCTGCAAAGTAGGACTCTACACCTATCGACCACAAAAAAGAAGTCAAAATCCAATTTGTTTAAGTAAGTCATTAGTTGTTACACCTCATCGATAACGTCACATATTTTTCACTCAAAATCCTATAAATATGGATCATAACATAATCAATTTTGTATCATCCATATTTTCCTACATTCTTCTCTATTATAATTTATACTATATATACACTACATAAATATTTTTATTTTTCAAACGAAAAAATGGCAAAATCATTTGAAAATGAACATCCAATTAAGGCATTTGGATGGGCAACTAGAGACACTTCTGGAGTTCTTTCTCCTTTCAATTTTTCAAGAAGGTACAAATTATTATTTTTAATTTTGATGGTGTATTTTTCATTTCAATCGGAAACAAACTCTCTATAAGCTGAGGTAGGGTAACATCTGCGTACATATGCTATAATAAAAATGGTTTTTAGTGGCAATAAATATGTCAATTAACAAAGAGTGTTGAAATTTTTACCAGTATTTGTTATTGGATCCAATGTCGTTATAGGCTCCGATGACATTTACAAAGAGTGCTAAAATGTAATTGTCACTTGCAACTGCCTCTAAGAAAAATCGTTTTTTTCTAGTGACACTCAGTTTCTCGGACTCCACCTGTATGATTATATTGAATTTGTTGTTGTTGTTTTATTGTAAATTTGATGATGATCATTTTGTGTTAATGGTTACAGGGTGACAGGTGAAAAAGATGTGCAATTTAAAGTTATGTATTGTGGAATTTGTCATTCTGATCTTCATCAACTCAAGAATGAATGGGGAAATAGCAAGTACCCGATGGTGCCTGGGTAAATTAATTTGTTCTTTTCTGTTTTCTTTTATTGTTAGATCCAAAATTATTAACCAGAATTTTCACTAACGAGATTCAAAAATATAAAGGCACAAAGAAGCTAACAGGATTCAACATTCACTGTATATACACATAAGTAGTTTTTCGGCGAAGAACATTTGTTAGCAAGTTTTCTTGTTCTCTGTATCTTTTCAATTTTTCACATTATATTTTTGAATTGAAAGCAATCCTGATTTGGTTCTTAGTCTATATTTGGCCATATTGAGCTCTTGATACCTCAGTAAATCCTGAGTTGTTGGGACATGTTACTCTCTCTGTCCCATTTTATAAGAGTTAGTTTGACTCGATACGGAGTTTAAGAAAGAAAGAAGGACTTTTAAAACTTGTAGTCTAAAATGAATGATTGAAATTTGTGTGGCTATAAATCATTTTATCAAGGGTAAAATGGACATTTTAAAGTTAAATTGTTAGTTAATATAGAAATGTGTCATTTCTATTTGGGACGGACTAAAAAGGAAAGTCATATAAACTGGTGCAGAGAGGTTAAAAATTAGCGGAATTTGTGTTGATTCTATCTACTCGTGAGTGTAGCTAATTGTAAATGTAACTGCAGGCATGAGGTTGTTGGTGTTGTAATTGAGGTTGGAAGCAAGGTGGAGAAATTTAAGGTTGGAGACAAAGTAGGTGTTGGATGTATGGTAGGATCATGTCGAAAATGTGAGAATTGTAGCGTGGATCTCGAGAATTACTGCCCTCGTCAGATTCCTACTTACAACGGCTATAGCTTAGACGGAACCTTCACGTTTGGAGGTTACTCTGACATGATGGTATCCGATGAGCATTTTGTAGTACATTGGCCTGAAAACTTGTCGATGGACGCTGCTCCCCTGTTATGTGCTGGAATTACTACTTATAGTCCTTTGAATATTTTGGACTCGATAAGCCTGGAATGCACATTGGTGTTGTTGGTCTTGGAGGGCTCGGACATATGGCTGTTAAGTTTGCTAAGGCATTCGGAACCAAAGTGACTGTCATTAGTACATCTGCTAATAAGAAGCAAGAAGCAATTGAGCGTTTAGGCGCAGACTCTTTCTTGATCAGTCGCGATCCTGAGCAGATGAAGGTAAATATAATAACTCGTTATCATTGAACTCTGTGATCATCTTATTTGAATGTTCAAACTGTTTGAGAGAACACTTTCATTTAATAAGTTGCCTTCAACACACTGCTGCCTGATTATTTTTTTCCACGAGCCAAGCACATGAAATAATTTTTTTTGACAATGGTGGTATTGAGATTTTTTAACGCCCAACCTTCGCCTGCTCTGGTTCCATGTTGAAGTGTGTGACAATCTCATCTAAAAGTTTAAGTTGTTATGCAAATTTAACAATTTAAACACGAGAATGGGGGCAAACCTTTTGTTTATTTGTTTTATTTATATACGAACAGGCTGCAATGAACACATTGGATGGGATTATCGACACTGTTTCGGCGGTGCACCCTATTCTTCCATTGCTTATGTTGATGAAATCTCATGGTAAGCTAGTTATGGTTGGTGCACCAGAAAACCGGTGGAGTTGCCCGTGTTTCCTCTACTTATGGGTAAGCAAATGCAAGATTTCAAATAATAAAGTTCAGACTAAAGTATATATAATGTGGCCCTTCCCGCACATAGTGAAAGCTTAGTGCATCAGACAGTCTTTACTAAAGTTTGTATATATAATGTGGAAAACAGGAAGGAAGCTAGTGGCTGGAAGTTGCATAGGAGGGATGAAAGAGACTCAAGAAATGTTGGACTTCGCAGCAAAGCATAACATAACACCAGATATTGAAGTTGTGCCTATGGACTATGTGAACACAGCGTTGGAACGTCTTCTGAAATCGGACGTGAAGTATCGTTTCGTGCTCGACATTGGCAATACATTAAACAAGAAATGAGAATATTAATAGGGGGATTTACGTCCAATGGTCTAGCAGTGTTTCTTTGCTTAGATTGCATTAATTTCAGAGATGATTAATCAATAAAATGTGTTTCTTGCACTTATTAAAATAGAAAAAGAATGTTAGTACATTTTATAGTACCCATAGTCATTTGGTGTTGTTTCATTTGCATTAGATGCATCCCATAAGCCACAAAGAGGTACCAACAAAAAATTACATACATTTTCATTTTCTTCAGAACGTTTTTACCGTTACACGCGAATTTCAAATAAATTCCGTTACGCGAAATTATAACTAACATTCTGAATTAATTTATAAGAGAAAGGAAATCAATTCAATTCGAAGTAGAGCGAGCGACGACGGCGCGAGGGCACCTTCTTCTTAACCCTTTAAATTTCCGCTATACTTGATTATCTGTTCTCATTTACCCCTGGACGTTGATGTAGAATAGAATATGAAACACCTTTTTAGGCGCGTGAGTGTAAAGAAAAATACAAAATAATGGCCGATGAGAAAAGTTGTGCCAACATATTTTTTTTGTTTCTTCATTAGATGCAGGGGTTGGAAATGCAATTCACAGAGGTTAAAAACCTCAGCTATTATCTATAGTAATAATATGAGAACAACCCAAAATAATGTAAAATACATTAGTTTGAGTTTATGGAATTAATAACTTATTTTCATTTAAACACAAGAATCATAATTCTAGGACAAGATAAAATAGAAAGTATCTCAAATAGAATGGTACCTCTGTTTCATACCTTAAATAATGCAATGAACTGCATCGGAGATCAAGATGAACAAGCCTTCTTGGATTAAAATTTGTTGGCAATAACATCCAAGATGAACAAGCCTTCTTAAGCATGATCAATACTTCAGCGATCACACATTACTGTGTAAATTTGACAGTAGACATGCATCAATAGAGACTACATTTGAATTCTTCCATTGTTTATGTTATTGAAATCTTGTCATGGTTGGTACACCAAAGAAACCGATTGAGTTACCCGTGTTTCCACTACTTATGGGTAAGCATGTATAGTTTTCTTTATGCACGATTTCAAACAAAAAAGTTCAGATGAAAGCTTAGTGCACCGGACTGTCTTTTTTCTTAGACTAAAGTTTGTATATATAATGTGGAAGGAAACTAGTGGCTGGAAGTTGTATAGGAGGGATGAAAGAGACAGAAGAAATGTTGGATTTCGCGGCAAAGCATAACATAACACCAGATATTGAAGTTGTGCCAATGGACTATGTGAACACAGCATTGGAACGTCTTCTGAAATCGGATGTGAAATATCATTTCGTGCTAGACATTGGCAATACATTGAACAAGAAATGAGAATATTAATAGGGGGATTTACAGCCAATGGTCTAGCAGTGTTTCTTTTCTTAGATTACATTAATTTCAGAGATGATTAATTAATAAAATGTGTTTCTTGCACTTGTTAAAAAAGAAAAAGAATGTTAGTACATTTTACAGTAGATATCAACGGAGACTATGCAACTTCAGTAGAACTTGATGGTTGGGGAGAAATTATTTGAGCTCCATTGGATTCCAAAGCTTCTGCAATTTATCTATTTGTCAGGAAATGGAAAATGTGATTATATTTCGAAATGAAATATAAAAAGAATAGAATTTTGCCAACCCAAATTGTACGTACTATGTTCCCTTCATAGGCAGTGTCCCCAAACTCGCTGCTGATTACTGATACGTACATCACCTATTGCCAAATAGAAGAAAGAATGAGAAGAAATAATTTATATATAAACAGAGAACACAATTTCATGAGGTATATACCTACCTTTATTTGATCTATAATCCCGAGCTTGTGGGCAAGAGTTGCCTTTGTTTCTTAGAAGAGGAGCAAGTGGCCTCTTCTTCATCTCTGCTCTTCCTTATCCCAATGCAAGGCTCGGATTCATCTTTATACAACAAACGAACTCCAAATTTCATCTTTTCTCCAGAATCATCATCTGTTTCTCCAAAATCATCATCTATATCACTAATAAAATCAAACTCAATGCACCCATAGTCATTTGGTGTTTTTCCATTTGCATTAGATGCATCCCATAAGCCATCAAGAGGTACCAACAAAAAATTAATATTACATGCATCAGGATCGTCTAATTCTGAATTGTTGGATAAGGCAAATTCCTGGGTCATCGACGGCATCCCATCATCACATGATAAGGGAATCAAATCGGTTGTGATGTAATCAATATAATATTCACTAGAATAACATACAGCAAACCCCAAGAACTTATCCGATTCATACCAATTCTCAGGCAGATCGACTGATACACTTGGGCACATTTCCTTATAGTTGAACCAACTCGGGATATCCTCCACAAAACTCCCAAACACTCTTAGTGATGACACGGAATCTGAAACAGAGATGTCATGCTGCAATGATGAGATATTCTGAAACAACGAATT